TGCACATCCTGTATAAATATGCTTTCTCACCAGCAAAGGGCAAATCTTAGAAAAACAGTGGCATGCAGCATAATGCACAGTTATCCAGGATCTGGACTGCAACAGTTTCACAAAAGATAACTGTTGATGGCAGATTTGAATCAGGGGCTCTTATTTTAGGGAACAGTGGTAGAAATCACATGGTAACTTATTTTGATGCAGATTATGTAAGAAGCAAGTACAAGGCTTCGAACTGGAGGTGAAGCTCAACTCAGAGAAGCTCATCTTGATGCTAGGCGGTCTAGACCAATGTGTCTTTTATGGAAGATTCTGCAGTGACCATTCAGCCTAGCAGAGCTTCTCTGAGGAAATAGGAGAAACAGATTCATTCTCTTTGTCTCTTCTCATTCCCAGACATTTGGAGAATTCTCATTAAAATTACTTAGAGTGAAACAGAAAGACCTTGCCATAAAATAAATCTGGTTAAACACACTTTGTTGTATTGCCTCATTTGTGTGATGCATGGACCTAATTTTCCTCTCTTTGTATCTTAACTATGTACATTAGGTAGTTCCTGCCAATTAATGCAGGATGACATATTCCCAATTGCTTTTCTCTATATTCTTAAACATTAAAAATAAATATGTACCATCTGTCTCATATCTTGAAAGCAATTCAAAATGGGTACTTTTGTTTTCTTAGGATTACAGCAGTTTATAGCAATAGTACTTCTGAATTGTGTGAATGCTCTGTCTCCATTTCACAAGTGGAAGATGAATCCTGCAAGTTGATGAACAAAAGCCTCCCATGAAAGGCCAGTTAAGGAAGAAAGTAATATAGGCCTGTGACTAAAAGTAGGGTCTTTGGAATCCAAGAGAGCTGAACTAGAACCTGGATTCAGTGCCTTCCCAGCTGATTGACCTCAGGAAAGAGGCATAATCTCTTGGGCCTCAACTGTCCTCATCTGTGAAATGGCTATAATTTCTGCACACATGATATAGCCCCCCCCACACCATCAACATTCACATAATCAGCATTACAAAGACAATAATTCAGTTTGGGAAGAGGAATTATGAAAAAATAGCTTAAAGGGGCACAATATTAAAACATGAAAAAGGAATTACATATGGAAGTTGTATTCTCTATAGTAATTAAAATATAAAAGAAACTTTAAGCAGGACATGGTGACCCATACCTGTAATCCTAGCATTCTGGTGGGCTGAGGCAGGAAGACTGCACACTTGCGGAGCAGCAAGTACCAATGTAGTGACTTAGTGAAACCCAGTCTCAAGACAAAAGAAGGCTGGGAAAGGCTGCTCAGGCCAGAGGCTTGGGCTTCATCTCTGGTAGCACCACCAAAAAGAAAAAAAACAAAAAACCTAGAAACTTTAATTGCTTTCATTGTCCTTTGAGAATATAGATGATCTTGGATATGGAATTGAATTTCATCAATTGGGGAGACCTCAATTACACTTAATGGCTAAACAGCACTTTTCAAAGTTTTTTTTTTAATTAAAAAATTATGCTATATAGTGGTTAATATCCAAATAGCTTAACATTAATTAAGGGGGTAAAGGCAGTTTGAGAATGGTTTTCCAATTTCTAGAACAATTTCCTTCATTAATACTTTCTCCTGTAGCCCAAGAGAAAGTTTTCCAAACTTGAGCCAAAAACTCTGAAGACAGTGAACATGTAATTGGAAGTCCACTGTGCATTTACAGACCACAGAACTGTAGTGCTATAGAAAAAGGCTGGTACATGTGACCTAGCCCAAACTATTTTAGCACTAAGCAGTGTAGCTCAGCTAATTGTCCCCAAAACACACAGCTTGTTCAGGCAAGAACATTTCCTTTCTTTTAGCTAGGTTTCAAAAAAATTTGTCAGGCCACTGAAATCTTTTAGAGTTCTATAAATAACCTAAGTTTGCAGCTGATTCTTTGCACGACTCTTTGCCCAACAGTCTTATTTGAACATAACTTAGCTGTTTGACATAGATTTTGCATGACAAAGTAGTCAAGTCTTAATAGTAGCTGAGAATGTACTATCAATCCTTTATTTAGACTGCAGTCAGGGCAATTCAACTCTTAGTCATCCTGACATGTGCTTCGGAACATAACACACCCTGGATTCTGGCAAAATCATCATCTGTTCCTCACAGCCTGCCCCACCACAAATCTTTTTGAATTGCTTATATTTTTATCATAGAGAAAAAGAAATTCTTAAAATTCCAAATCTTGGCATACGCTTACATTTCCCCTACTCAGTTATAAAATTAAAAACCATTCCCATAAACCCTGGATATTTAGTAAAATGGAGAATTACTATGAAGGAAAACAGTGAACAGTTATGCCACTTAAAATGGAGACCATCCTTGTACAGAAACTAAACTTTAAGCTTGTTCCTAAGGAAACACACATTGATTTTACCCCATCAGTCCTGATTGGCTTAATACAATCTGAAAGTAGACGATCCTAGTTGGATCAATTTGCTGTGATCCATGCAGAAAAGTTAAACTGAGGCTGCCACTTACTAAAAGTGTTGTTCTAAAAGAAAAAAAAAAAAAACTGCTTGGTTTCAAACATACTCAACATTCCATATATCCTCTTGCTCCTTATAAACTTACAATCATGAGGTGATGATCTAATTTGTACTTTGTGACTTATATTATGAACTGTTCACTGTTTTCAGAGTTTTTGGCTCAAGTTTGGAAAACTTTCTCTTGGGCTACAGGAGAAAGTATTAATGAAGGAAATTGTTCTAGAAATTGGAGAAAGTATTAATGAAGGAAATTGTTCTAGAAATTATATTATGAATATAATATATTATATTATGAACTTTCCTACAAAAGCTAGGAAAGGACTGGGCAGAAGAGCCAGCAGAAGGGTTTTCTGTCTGCTGTCCCTCCTCTATACTCTTCATCCGTACCTCTCTACGTGTGCAGGAGGCAAGGGCAGCTCTCACTGCCTAACTGAACAGGACTGCTGGTGCCAGCACCTGGGAAGGGAAAGGAGCCCCTGGAGTGTGTTACTGGTCAGATGCTTCTACCATCATCCCGAGGCTTGAGTGACAGGGGAACAAAAGGCAGCAAGCGTCTCACTATTGAGTCCTTGCTAAAGCCCCAGGCTGTTTTGGTCACTTTGGAGAGCATTCAACACATTTTAGGGATAGCAATGTCAGGCTCCTCCCTCCAGCATGCAGGACAGGCTGTGGGAAGAGGAAAGTAGGGACTGAGGTAGGCAAAGGGCTCCCAGCATTGCACAATGGAGCTTTCCGGGGAGGAAGCCAAGATGAGTAATGCAGCAGGAATTTGCTTCAACAACCCCTCCCCCACCGTGAAAAACAACCAGACTCAAGATGCTGATAAGAATTCTTTTATGTTATTCCAATAAAAAATACATTCATACAGAAATATAACAATCTTGCAAAAAACAATTTCAAATAAAATCTTGTAAAACAAAATTTTACAAAAATCTTACAAAGATTCTTTAGATAACAGGGTGCTTCCAAAAAAAAAAGGAAAGAAATTTCACTAATAGAAATTTTTTTTTAATTTCAAGCAAAAAATTTCTGCTTGATTGAGGCTCAGTTATCACCTGAACAGAATGTACTTCTTTATGTACTTGCTTATTATGAAAATTACAGGCATGGACATACATGGCCCCCAGCCCCACCCAGCCAAACCACCTCCGTGGTGTTTCGTAAGTGAGACAGGCCAGTGCAAGTTTTTTTTTTTTTTTTTGTCTGTTTACCTTCTTGCTTCATGGAATTGTTATGGCTAAGCACACAGCAGGGCCAAATAAGGAGTTTTCCAAAACCCAGCAAATCAGGTGCTTGGATTTTGAACTGCCAAACAGAAAGTGCATTTTTCCCCAATCAAAATGAAGTTCTTTAGGTAAATGTATTCATCAACCCAGATAAAAAACCAGTTATGCGAGCTTGAATCACTGCTCATTTCCAGGAAGATCAAACAAAATACCAGCTCAGCCAGATTCATATACATATACATACGCATACATGTATGTGTGTGCATATATATATATATATATATATATATATATATATATATATATACACTTTACACCCAAACCCAGCAGCTAGGTGCTGGATGAAATATCAGCTTTTTATCCTGTGTGGTATGCCAATTTGGGGAAATCATTCCTTGGAAAAACTGGAAGAATCTACATGCTGGAAAAAAATAGCTTTATCTGCATAAAAAGTGTCTAAAAAAGAATCCCTGTGGTTAGCTCACTCTTAGGTTAGATCTTCTAATAAGGCTAAAATTCAAATCCAAACCGTGGTGTGTCTGAGTCCAACTGTATGCCAGTATTCTGTCATGCCACATCTAAATGGCCAAAGGTTCTCTACTCCAGACACCTCAACAGGGACAAGCAAGTTGGTAGCCTGGAATAGACTCATGCCAAAACAGTCTTCAGCAAACCATTAAACTAAGATAAAGCCTCTACAAAACTTAGGTTATAGTTTTCATTTTTACCTCCTTTATGGCCATTTTGAAATACTTCACAGGCTGTAGAATTTTCTAGCTAAACATTCTAGTTTCTTCTTAAAAAAAATATTTATATATTACCTATATATAATATATATATACACACACACATACTATACACACAAATATACATACACAAGAATTCTGCCCACTTTTTAAAAAAAGTAGTATACTTTCTGTATTACCAACAGATAGCTAGATAGATATGTGAAACTTGTGCCTTTTAAGCAAATACATTGACATTGTTTTTTATTATTTCTGTATTTTTAGTATGTGTGGAAATGTTACATATTAAATACAGCCGGTGTGTGATCTATACAGTTGTTGTGCAAGGTCTATGTGAAAGTCTCACGGTGGCAGAATTGGTCAGATTTTTTCAATTACCATGTAGTATTTTTTTCTTTTTTTCCATTTTTTAACATTGACAGTCAAGTTGTCTAAAATATTGAACAAATTCTGACATGTCAAGGGAGTTTTCATCTGTTTGTGTTCGTGAAGGAGGACCTTAAGGAGGTTATTTTTTTTTTTTTTCTGTATTATACATTGATACAGTACAATGCCAGGTGAAAAAAGAGCCTTAATAAAGCATGCATCACCCATACCCCTGTATGAGACCCCGATGTGGGGCCCACCTGCATAAGGCACCATTATGAAGGTCAACAGTGCATTAACAGCTAGAAAACCAGAAATTAGTCCTCAAGGCATAAATAAGAGAAACATAGCTGCATGAGAAAAAGTTTCTAAGCTTTAGTGGTTTTGTTTACCCAACTGTGAAAATTTTTAGGTTCTTTCTTAGCCTAATGGAACATTAGACCAGCAATTTCCAGCCGCAGCTTTTGGACACTCGGCATATGTCCAATTTCTTCAAAGGGCATCATGAAATTCTCCAAAAAGTTAATTCTAATTCAGAATCACTTTAAAAATAACCCTATGCTGCACAACACCTTTCTGGAAGAGGAGTGTTATAAAATACAAGGGGGAAAAACTGTGTCTTGCCAGGCCCTTGAGGCTAGGGATTACTGTATTAGACAAATTGTATTTTAGCTGCTCATTAATTGGAATCAAGATTACAGTCCAGATTTTAAAATGGAAAAGCATATAGCTCCCCAGACCATGCATGACTTCTTGTATAAGGAAAAATTATCATTGTGTTATATTTGTAAATACAGCTTATACAATGGGTTACAAATGAGCTCTTTGTAGCAAGTAAAACAAGCTACTTGACACATTGCACGTTTAATAGCTGCACCAGACACCAACAGTTCCTCTCACACAGGAAGGAGGCACAGGGCCCCCTGCCCATACCACACACCTCTCTGGGGTCCTGAGTTCCCACTCCCACCCTCCTTTTTTTTTTTGTTTTGTTTTGTTTTGTATTGTTTTTATATTTTTCTAAGGTGCAGACACCCTCCCAGGAAATGATTGGTGGTCGTCTCATCTCACGGTATACTCCTTACACACAAAACATTCAAACTACTTTTTCCCTGTGTCTTGCAGTTTTGCTACCACAAGGGAAAAAAGTCTGCCGCATCATACAGTCAGTAATAGATCCTCAACATACAGTCAGCCCAACCATGAACATTCTCAGTGCGCATGCTCACAGCGAAGGCGCGGAGCCTCACAGGTCACATATCAGCGGCGAGTCCAGGGTCACCCCCACACTATGCACCACAGGTGGTAATGCCGCTTCTGACATGACTCCGTCAGCCCTCGAAAGACCTTTCAGAGAGGCCCTGGAGGCAACTGGGTAGGGTGCAAAATGGCATGCTTTGGCTGGAACACGCATCCCTCCTTCCATGGCTGTCTCTCAGCCTGGAAGCCTTTTAGCCTACAGGATTTACCCCTCTGCTCCCTCAGAGGTGCCGCTTCATGTGCAGGGCCAGGTGGTCAGACCTGGAGAAACACCTGCAGGGGCAAATCAGAAGTAAAAAAAATTAGGTTTCCTTCCTGGTTTGTATTACAGGGCAAATACCTCATTTTCCTGCATTCCCCGACCCAACTCCTCTAGTCAGAAAGGCAGAAAATCTTCTCTTGTCCAGGATTTCAGAGGCCGGAAACCCCAACTCAGAGAAATCTGGAAAGTTCTTTGAAAAATCTGAATGACTTCCTATCTCATTCTTCAAACTTGAAGACTGCTTACGGCTGACCTTCAAAAAGTAGATGGGCAATCACTGTATTCTCATGTATACCTGGAACAGTGCTTCCTAACATGGGCATGAGATACACCAGAGGCTTCCTTAAAAAACTCGAGGCTTAAAAAGGAATGTCAACAAATGACTGGAAGCTGTTGTCTTTTCTTTTTAATGAGAGCTACCGCACACCTGCTCTGCCTGGTCACTGCACTCCCATGGCTCTATGAGTCTTTTCCAGCAGGCCCTCATGCACCTACCTGTCACAGTGAGAGCATTTAAAAGGCTTGGCACCGGTGTGCTTTCGGAAGTGTCTGGTTAACTCATCACTTCTTGCAAAACGCCACTCACACCCTTCCCATGAGCATCTGTAAGGCTTTTCTCCTGGGAAGAGAGCACAGGACAAGCACACCGTGACTTCAGTGGCATGACAAGGCGAGGGGCAGATTTAACAACACACAGGCGGAGGGATGCAAGGTCAGGGTCCCAGTGGCTTTGAAAATTCAGAGTACCTCTTAATTAAGGACAAGAATCTGCCAATCTAGAGGTAAGAAGGCTGAGTCTTTCCTAGCTTAAACTCAGGCCTCTAATTGTTGTCCTTAGGATCCAATTATGGGAAAAGCCATGCTACCAAAATCAGAGTTAACTTACAACAATGACAATTACTCAAACTGGCAAAATACTTGAGAGGTGAGGTGTCAGCCCTCTGGGACCCACAGCCTCTGTGAGGGCCAAGCTTTATTGCTTTCTCCATGGAAACTGTTTCCCCTCAAGCACTATTTTGTTTCTTACTCACTTCCCCGAGGAATGAGGCTGTTGTTTCATCTGGGACCTTCTACATTTGTACAGAACTGAAATTGTAAGTTTCTGGGAAACTTCATTCCAAGGCTTTCAAATCACTTTCTAAATGTCAATCAAATGACTAAGTTCACTTCATTCCTTGGCCCATTTATAAATATGAATTCGTTAAAAGTGCTACCTAGGAATAATAATTTAAAAAAAAAACCAAAAAACAAAACAAAACACCAAAGCCACTTCAGGGCAAATGCTGCCTGATTTTAGGACACCTGTGCCTGGCTCAGCTCCCTGTAGAACCCTTTCAAGACTGCAGTCATGGGCTCTGATGCTGCTAAGAATCTGCACTACTTTATCTTGCTCAGTTTGACATTTTCTATGATTTTTCACCAGTCATCTAGGAGGAAAACTTTCACCTAGTTTTTGGCACTTCATTAAGAAATCACTGCTGTATTAAGTAATAGCTGAATAAATGGTAAGGTGCCACAGAGTGCTCTTGGTAAATAGCCACACTGATCAGAATGCTGCTTACAGAGCTTCAGGGTCCACTCAGGCCTCACACAATCATCACCAGCACTAACACACTCCACACTGCCCAGGGACCCTGTGATCCGACCTTGGAGTCTCATTTCAAACAACGAAGAGCAACCCAGTGTAACAGGATGCAAATACATGGGCACCCTGAGCCCATCTTGACACATGGGGCTGTTAGACTGGGTGGAGGCTTGGGTGTCCACGGAGAACATGATCTAGCCTCTTGTTTCTTTGTTTGATCTCAAAGTATTAACCATTCATCTGATTCAGATGTCCAGTCTTTAAAGATTCTACTTTGAACTCCAAAAAACCTCAATTCTTTGGTGTAAAGGATTTAGGAATTGAGGATTTGTTGTCTGTGACCAAATCCTGCAGAGCCCTGGCTCCCTCCCAGGGCTGGTGCAATTCAGCAGCGCCCACCAGAGGCCAACCTCCCAGGTCCCAGGAGGGGACTGACCTGTGTGAGTACGCTGATGTGCTTTCAAGTGGGAGCTTTTGGTGTAAACTTTTCTGCAGCCATTAAAGTGGCACCGATGCACCCTCCTCCTGCCGTCTGGGGAGCTGTCGCCACTACCCTTGTCACCCGTCTTCCCCGAAGTCCCACTGCGCACCTTCCCCGGTGAAGGCAGCTCTCCAGGCACACAACCCCAAAGCTGAGAAGGTTCTCTATTCAGTTCAGGAGAAGAAGGAGGTGTAGAGGTGACAGAGGAGCTCAGAGTTCCTGAATTGACTAACACTTCACTGATAGGGTCAGAGGGAAACTTGGTCGTAGGTGAAAGTTCCTCTGAGCTATCAGATGATTCACTGCTCACATCTGAGTTCAGGCTGTTGGTCTCCAAATTGTAACTGAAGCTCGGGCTGATCAGAGGGTCCTCCGGGGGACTAGAAGAAATCTTCAGTTCTGAGTCCTCCTTTTTCTCCCGAGCAAGAATAATTTTGGTCCACAGATCTTCCTGGCTTTCAAATTTGATTTCTGAGGCTGAAACATAGCAGGGTTCACTCTGGAGGTAGCGTTCCAATTCCAGGCAGGTCTGGGTAAAGGGAACCAAAAGAAGACATGTGACTGTTATGACAACTGAAAGTGGAACCAAAAGCACATCTCCAAAACCATGCAAGAACAAAGGACAGATAAACTACTGCAGTGTCACTCACTATGGGCACAGAGCCTCCTGTAATTAGAAGCTGTGTCCCTGTGAAAGTTAAGAGAAAACATATTCCTAGAATAGCAAGCATTTAGAAGGAAAAACAGAGGGTGAAACCTCTTTTGGCTTCCCCAACGGTGGCCACAATGAGTGATGATCACTAAGCCTGTTTTGTTGTTATAGTTACAAGTGTTGACATTTCTAATGAGTTTCCCATAAACCACACAAAGAAAATCAGCCTGATACACATACTCCCCCCCAACAGGTTTAACCAGATGAGCTGACATTCTCAAGAACCATGTGTACTAGGAAAAGCCCCAGCCATCCACGTTCACAGGACACATAGATCCACACAACAGGACAGAAAGACTGCATGGCACACAGTGTGTTCTGATGGAACCCTTGGGGACAGCTGTGAACTCAGGGCCACACTCAACACAGCAGACAGCAGACATCACCTAGCTGTCCATACTCAATGACATCAAGGCATTTGCAAAGAGACCATTTATTTCCTGTGTAGCCAAGACCTAGTACATTTTCAAAGAATGCCAGTCCCAAGTGCAGGGTCATGCATACTACAAAACTTTAATTACTTCTACAGTGGTCAGAGAGAAACAAGAAACTTCAACAGGAGTGGGGGAATAATTCCAGAATGGCCATCTGCTATTGTGAAGGATGCAAGGGGGAAATTACTCCACAGCCCTGCTGGGAGTGCCACAATGAACAAGAACTTTATCTGCTGGCCAAGAGTACAACTGTATGAGTCATCACTCATTTCTTTCACGCAATGCCAAAGGAGACTTCCTTTTGAAATTCTGACCAGCAGCCAAATAAGGACCAGGTTCAAATATACATGCAGTGTGTCATGGACAGGGTGCCCCCCCCAGCCCACAACCAACCTTTCAAGAAGCTACAATGCCGAGATCAGCATCCCCTCTCCCCACCATTTCAAACTTTCTAGCCACTGGAAAAGAAAAATGGTAGGAAACATTTTAGGATCAAATTATGTCTGCTCTGATTTTCACCAGGTTGTCTGCATGTCCATATAAGGTTGTCTGTGCTACTGACAATTCCACAGATTTAAATTTTGACACCAAATTGCTCTTTTCAAGCAATCATTTTCGGGGCCATCCCGAGCATAGTCCCTGGGGGCTTCGGTGAGAGTGTGCAATCCTACCCTCCCCAAGACTCACGCACCACGCCACGCCGCCGGCAAGCAAGAGCAAGCAAGGGGGCAAAATCATTGTTTTCTCTTTGCTCCTTCAAATTAGATGTCTGACTTACAATGTCTACTATGTTGTTTTGCAGAGAGGCGGTGAAACATTATTGACGTTCCAAAGAAAAAAAGCAAGCATATTTACTGAGATCCTGTTAAACTTTAATAATCTGGCTAATTTAAAATCTCCATTATGCTGATGAACGCCGGGGACCTGAACGAAGCTGGAGAGTTTAAAAGCCTCTAAGCCTCTGAAGGCAACCAGAAGCCAAGTCTGGCTCATTGCCCGAATCCCAAATGCTCGAAGGAAACTACTTAGATCAATTTCAATCCTTCTGAGGGTGCAACTTGGGGGTGGGGGTGGGTGGGTGTTGAACAATTAAACTGGCATGAGATGGTTGCAACACTTTTGAATTCCATCCTTCTTTAAAACCTTCTAGGCTTCGAAACCCCCCCCCCAAAAAAAAATTGATCTGCTAATTCATTTTGACAAAAAAACACAACAACAACAAACAGCACAGCAGGGCAGAAAAAAAACAAACCTTCGTATCTTTTTTTTTTTTTTTTTTTTTTTTTAAAGACAATGGGACAAGTGTTAAACAATCTTTCTTCAGTCAATGCAAGGAACCAGGACAGGGTATTGATTAAGTTTCTTAAATTTCTGATGCCCAAAATTCTGGTTCTACTGAAATGCCGGACGCCGAGGTTTCTCTTCCCTATCGAAGGCTGGAGACGGGCGGGGCCGGGTCCCGCTGTCACCCGGGACGCAGGTGAGGGAAGGGGGCGACCCGGGCGCGGCCGCGGAGCCGGAGGGAGGCCCGGCCGACGGCCTGGAGTCCGGGACAAGCGGGTCTGCCCTTCGCGGGCGGAAGATTAGATAGAAATAAAAACTAGGTATAAATATCAAAGAGCAAAACAAAAACAAAATCCTGTGGAGGAGGAAATAAACTGAAAAGCCCCGCGCAGCCTAGGGGAACGCACGCCCGAGACCCGGTCCGGCTGCGGCGAGTGGACCGGCAAGGGCACCAGCGCCGGACCTTGCTCGCGTCGGGGCTCGGTTCAGCCGCAGCGGGGCCGTGGCCAGCGCTAATCTCGGAACCGGGACCGGGCCGGGCGGCGGAGCGAACCCGGGACGGCATCGCTTACCTGTTGCCAGTACTCCTCCAGGGACGGCAGCGCAGAGAAGTAGCCGGTCTCATGCACGATCTGCAGCTCCTGGAAGATGCTGCACATGGGGAGCACGTCCATGGCGGGGTGCGGACGGTGCCCGTCGGCGAGAGCCCGGGCGGCCGCGCGCGCTGGAGTCGCAGGGGAAACTCGGCCCGCGAGCGCAGGTGAAAGTTGCATGCAAACTCCTGGCGCGGCGATCGGACGCCTGGACGGACCCTTCCGCAGCCGCGGCGCGCGAAGCCCACACAATATTTGCAAACACCGGACTGACTGCGAGCGCCGCTGCTGCAAAACTTCCCTATTCAAGCTCCGCTGCCAGCCTGCCCTCCGCCCCCGCCGCTCCCCCACGCCTCTTACCCACGTGACCAGTCCGGCCCCGCCCCGTGCACTACCCAATCGCGCGGCACCCGGCCCGAAGGCTGCGTGCCGATGATGTCAGCTTCGGCCAATCGCGGTTACTAACACACCGCGGCCCCGCCTGGCGTGACCGAGCTTCTTCATGACAGCCCTCGCCATTGGGTCAATTCGAACTCTGCCCTCTCTGATTGGATAGCGTCTTCACAGGCTATTTTTAGCAGGGTATATAAGGCGCTGGTCGCCTTGCACTGAAGGAGTCGGTGCTGGGAGGTGCAGAGCCTAGTGCTGCAGTTCCGTAGCCGGCCGAGCCCGGGGAAGCCGGGCTGACTACCCCGGTTCGGGTCACCTGGCCCTGCCTGCGGGGTGCAAGGTTGGAGGTTCCAGCCTCGGCTGCGTCCTCGGGCCCTGGTTAGGTGTCCCCGGCGCGCGCGCGCAGGTTCCGATCGACCGCCCTGGCCTTCGCTCCTGGCCGGGCCTTCCAGGCTCTATCGGTTCTGGGCTAATTGCTATTCCGACCCGGCAGCACCGCCCTTTGTCCCGGGCCGTCTCCGCACTTCCCGGCGGCCCTCCACCCCTGGGCGCCGATCCGCGGGCTGGAGCCCGAGCCTGGGCACCCGCTGCTGCGGTGGGTGCCGGCTCGGCGTGCAAGTCCCGCCCAAACCGCTTTAATCCGGTCGTGTGTTTATAAACCCTCCCGGGGGAAGCCTGAGAACGGGGATCTGCATCCTAAAACATCTTGTCCCTTGTTACTCATCATCCAGTAATTCCTATTGTAAGCCAGTTCAGGCCCCTTCTAATTAGGAGAAATCTATTTATCTCCTAGACTACGCGCCAAGGTTAACTAGGTTTTCTTGTGAATGTGTAAACAATTTAAATTAGGTTGAAGCTAACGTTCAATACTGTGTTCTATTTTTCATATAAATTACTTCAAGTACACCATAGTGTTCATTTAAAAAAAAAATCCACGAAGCATGGATATTTTGAAGTTGAAAAATAGAAAGTGAAATATAATTTATAGTTTTAAAAATGTTCAATGAAACTTTTTCAATCTTAAACTGTTAAAATAATTTTAGAGTGTGTGTATTTAACTTTGGAATGGTAGAGCAAACTAGTTTAAGAGGATTATGAGCCTGTAAGATTCTAGGAAGAAGTCTTTGTTAACGAGCTAAAAAGAAAGGTTACTACTTCATTGGACCTACTACTGCCTGTGATCTGTGCGTGATAGGCCTGTGTTGACAGGACTTCACGGGCGCATCAGCTTCCAACCGGCTTTCCAGAAGAAAATGAAAATGGCCTTGCTTTCAGCCTTGTACTTCTTGCTCAACTGCCCATTGACAGCAGCTCATCCCTTTTGGGAAATGGTTGTCTGAGCCGGGTTTTCCTCCTGTATTTGCGGGAAGGTTGTGACTTTGGCCATGGTGGGACCAGGGGAAGTAAGACTTAGATCAGGCATCTGGACCACAAAGAGCTTGGAAAGGATAAGGTGGTGAAGTGAAGGAATACCAAAGGCTTTGGTAAAATCACTGTAGGTAATACTTTTGAAAGTCACAGTGAGAACACAACAATTGACCTCGTGGACAAAGAATTATTGCTTTAATAATTCTTTTTTATTTATATTCCTCTAGAAAATACATTTTTCATTGTATTTTGCATGTACTCCCTAGTACAATGAACATTGTATAGTTAATTTTTAGGAGAATGAACCCAATTGGACATAATGTAGACATAATCAAGGTAATTTTACAAAGTAAAAGAACAGAATATGTACATAGACTGAATTTCAGATGAAATAATTTTTCTTGTTTTGATTTAGAAACTCTATAGCCAGGCAATCCTCCTGCCTCAGCTTCTTGAGTGTTGGGAATACAAGCATACACCTGGCAAGATGGAATAAATTATGTGACTTCTTGCTGCTGCACTTGCTAGCTGTTCAGCACAGTTGACCATCCTATGGCTGGTTGGATGGTATATATAAATCTAGGGCTGGGGAGATAGCTCAGTAGAATAAGCACTTTCCTGGCAAGCTCAGGGTCCTGCGTTCAATCCCTGGTACCGCAAAAATAAATAAATAAAATAAAATAAATCTAGAAAGTAGCCAAAAGCCTTTGTAGTGGCTGGAGAAGTGGGGGAAGGACGTCATAGATATTTTAAAGTGCTTCATCAAAAAGTATACAGCTATTGGGTAAGAAAATATCACTGGCATTGTATGTGAATACCCATGACACCCGAGAAATGATAATTATGTCTGACTTTTAAAAAGAGCAATATAGTAATAGAAACTGAATTCATTCAGATGAAGAAGTATGGCACAGAATTAAAAGAATGAACTTTAAACTCCAGCAGTCTGTATTTATGGGTAGCTTTGGTCATGTTAATTAAACTGGATTTTTTATTTTTTTGTTTTTTAGTTTGGTATGCTTATAAGAGAGAATGTGTAAAGTGCTTGATTTGTGGCAAAAAGGAATCAGTAAATCAGTTGAAGGCAAAACTTACTTAGTTGACGTTTATCCATTTCTAAGCTCATTCTTGATGCTGGTTTTATAATCTCTGCACCAAACACATTGGACAGTGAAATGAAATCAGCTTTACAGGTCACATGGCAAATCAGGGACAGGGGTGGTGCTAGGGTTGTCCAGGATCCCTACAAGAGCATCCTTCCCCTGTGGAAACTCTGGCTCCTCCACTGTCTGCTCAGCTCCTACTGCTGGAGAGGGACCAGTGCTGATGGGCATGCTGCTCCTGTTTATTACCTTCTTCATACACTCCTGATTTGTACCAGGCTCTAACAGCACCATTGTCTTCAGAGGGCTGGGGTTGGTGCTGTGCTGTGACCCATAGTCCTTTTGTATTCCTGAGTGATGAGGCATCCAATCCTTGCCCCTTGGGTTGTTTCCCCACATCCCACTCTCTGTCATCCTCCAGTTTCCTGCCTGCCGCCTTGCTTCCTAGCCACATGTACTTATTTTATACTTCAAAGTTCTCTTTGCCACATTTAGGGAAAAGAAAGAAATCTGTTGATTAAAATAAACTGCTTTCAAAATCTAGCTTTCAGAGCCGGCCAAATAGTTCAGTGGATTAAAGTGCCTGCAGGGGCTGGGGTTCAATCCCTGGGCCTGCCATGCCGCCCCACCCCCGTGGCACACTGACATGGCAATTGAGACTGGGCCTGGTGACGAGTGCCTGTAATCCCAACTCTTGGGAGGCTGTAAACAGGTGGATCACTTTGAGACTGATGTAGTAGTGATACCCTGAATATCCTACAGACTCTTCCCTAAAATTAAAAAAAAAAAAAAAAGAAAGAAAATCCAGCTTTCAACTTAAAGGTTAATGGGTGATATGTTGGTTTTTGAGTGACATTTTCTGTTTTTTAGTTCAAAAGGTGTGCTAAAGAGAAATCCTAAGAATTACCCTCTGTTGAGGGTAATTCCAATTAGCCACATTTTATTGATGGAGAGTACTCTTACCATTCGTCAAAGAAGGCTGTTTTTATATTTTGTTATTGGTGCTGTGATGTATGTATTGCGTATCCTAGAGAAAATTAACCTTTCATTTTATCTGTTTTGTTTACCTGTGCAAAATGTATTTTTTTCTTTTCCCATAATTTTATGATAAACAAATAGCGATGAGACACTTTCAAACAAAACTGGTAGGACAGTTTCAATAATTAACACATTGCATAAACTCTTCCTAGTGGTTATTTGCTGTACAAGATGCAGACATGATATCCTATTTAAAAAGTCTATTAGAACAAATCCCTCAAAATATTAAGAGAATGAAACTATATATCTATACTAACCATTTTGAATACGCAGATACAAAATGGACATTCATCTGTATCCCCCTTTTTGTTTAGTTCCGTTATTTGAATATTATAGGTGTGTTAACTCAGCAAAATAGTCTAAAAGACTCCAGTAGTTCATAATAGTATTGGGTCTTCCGCTTCACTGGCAATGTCAGAAATTGTTGACCTGAGTCCCCTACAGCTCAACATAACAGCATGGCTTTACTTCTTATAC